ACCGTTTTGTATTTTAAACATCAGAACAAATAATACGAAGCCATAAATGTTTGTTTTGTATATAGGTATTATTAACATATGTTATTTGTTATATAATAGCCAAAATCCTGTACTGTACGGGTATTTAACTTGGTATTTTACATTACGGGAAGAGTTTTGATAATTTACTGAAGAGAATATTCAGACCTAGCAGAGAGGAATTAAAAAGAGGGTAGAGATAATGCATAATGAAGAACATAAAATTTGTACTCCATCAAATTCGCATGAGAGGCATCAGAAAAGTATACAAAATGTGTCATAAAATCCAAAGCGACGAACAAGATTGTAAAATCAAGTTGTAGCTCGGATGATATAATATTAAAATTAATATTGAAAAGTATGCTCATAAGGTGTGGATGGATTCATCTGGCTTGGAATATGGACCAGTGACGGCAATACAATTTCGGGTTCCATAAAATGAAGAAAATTCTTGAACAGCTGAACGACTATTAGCGTCATAAATTCTATAATGTTCCTAGAAGTTTCCTGTATGCCTATATAGATCCTTTTCGCTCCTAGGTTAAGCATAGGGCCTCTTTTTTAGACGTTTCGGTAATTAGTTACAAAATTTAAGATGTATGGATGATTGGCCTACAACATCCGATTCAGGTGATGGGGCTGCCATGTTATAGAATCCGAACCGACAGAATGGAGAGTAGTATTTTCCTGACCCAGATGTTTAGGTTATACCACCTATACTCGGTCGCCAGAGCCTCATTAGTTAACAACAGTACCACGTGAAGGTGAGGTTCACATTTGTAAGAATTGAATCTTCCCTTACATCCGCCTGTAGGCCAAACAATTTAATTAAGTATTTATCTGTCTTTTGTAGATGTGTCTGACTGTGATGTCTTAAATGGTAGTAGAGGTTATTAAATATGGCGACTAGTGTGACGCGAACAGCTAATGGATTCCTTCATCATTAAATATACAACGACTTGTTTTCTTGTGCTGTATTATGACAATAGATTCAATGCTATGATCTGATTCTTCATGAATTTAGGAACATCTATAAAATATAAGAGGATATCCCTCATATTTGAAACACCAATGAATAAAAACGAAAATACATACACATATATTATACAAGTATTTTACTTTACATTTCCTTTACATAGTCAAAGTTTATAAAGTGTGCACAGAATTTATCAGTTAAATAAAGAGTTGAAATTTCTCATGATGAAGGACAGGCATTACCGCCTTACTGTGTACACCTCTGGCGTGCATAGATAGGG